GGACCATCTAGACACCAACCCCACAATTCCTGAAAATTTCATGAAAATTGAACGGTAGTAGGTGATATGCCCGTTAAATCTATTTGACTACAGACAGACACCAAACCAAATTTGATCCTTGATGTCTGAAACGTAAAAGGCGAGTGGAGATTTTCGATTCTGAGCAGAAATTTGTTTTTAACATCTCTCACGAATACAATTTTTCCCTACCTTCGGTAGTGAGGAAACAAAATAATAAAAACACCAAGCCAATAAGGCGTCATAGCATGTTATAACAACATATATTTTCCAACATATTGTTTACTAAACAGTTTTCCAAAAACCTAATAATAACATGTGACAGCAACTTAAATTTACATTATTAATTCCTACTCTATCACATACGAGATATAACCTGCTTTGAAACCAATTATCTCATATATAATGTTATGTATGGTTTATTTTAAAATAAATTTTATGGTTAAAACTTAAACCTTGTAAGCCTGACTATTTATGCTGCATTCCCTAACCTAGAGGAGGAAAAGTCAAAATATTGTACAAAATTGTATTGTACAATATTGTACATAAAATGTATGTTCATAAGTTGTTGTGATTAGGGGGAAGAAGAATTAGTTGTAAAAAAAAAGAAACAAGTAGTTTGAACATAACAACAAACATTTAGTAATAGGACGACCTTTTCCACTAACAATTGCGATGTGGCCTATTCCTACTTTTTGAGGAAAATGAAAAACTACAAAATTTGTTGTACAAAGTATCATTCGTTTTTTTCTATGTTCATGAATAAATGTGTAATTTTATTTTAAATAATAGTTTCTACTGATTAATTTAGTCACTAATGGTGATGTCAGGAGAGCGTTTTTTTTGGACTACTTGTATGTCTTCACCAATAGGTCCATGGAATTCGAATCGTCGTAAAAGGCATTTACTGGGTTAGCAAATAGGTCAATTCGGTTTTTCTGATTGAATATTACAGACATAAATTTTATTTTAAACTACAATATAGTGACCATCAATTAAACTGACTTTTCCACCAGGACCCTCTTTCCACTAACTGCATAAAATGTCTGCCATGTTCATAGAATGTCTGGAGTTTATTGTTAAAAAACTTATCCAAGTGGTTTTTGATGTCCTCTTCCTTTTGGAATTTCTTTCCATTCATGGAGTTCTACAGAGACCGGAATGATTGGTAGTCATTCGGAGCTAGGTCTAGTGAATAGGGAGGGTGTGGCAAGAGGTCCTATCCAAGGCTCAATAATTTTGCGAGTGATCAATGAAGTATGGGGCCTAGCGTTGTCTTGGTGAAACACAACTCCCTTCCGATCATCCATAACTCTTCAGGATGTTCTCCAAATTCGATGATAATATATCCGTTGAAAAGCTAAATAATTTTTCTTCAAAGGTATATGGTTTTTTATTTAATATCTACATAAGGAATAAATTAATAAAACCTCATTATAGGTTTTTATTTGTCATCTCCGTTTGTAGCTTTTTTACGAAGGTCCATTTGATGTTATTTTTTGGCCATTAATTCCTGCTAAATATCTTGTAGATAGCCGAAGTCGTATTGAAGTTATAACATTTTTTTTTTATTTTCGAAAAAAAGGAATCATGTGAGGGACACAAACATTGAGCGTGGAAACATAGCCAAACATGTGCAAATGCTTCTCTAGGCTTGTGTGCGATACATTTAGGCCCATAGCAATCTCTCACACTGATTGTGTGGGATTTTGATCAACAATGGCTTTGACATTGCTCGCTTCAATTTTATGTGGGCGAACAGACCGTTGAGCATCACTGATGTCAAAATTTCCTGAATGAAATTTGGCTAAACAATTTTGACACGTGCGTTCGGTTAAGGCCACCATAAACCCATCATCCCCATAAACCCTGCAAATTTTTCTATGAGCTTCTGCAGAAAAGATGATTTTTTCTTCCATGTTCACAGTGCAATAGCACAATATAACACAATATTAAGCTAGTTTCAACAAGAATTTACATATACAGTTGTTGATATATTACAATCAGAATAAACAACCCACCTTAGGGATTAATTCATCAGATTAGAAATGTAGTCACATAAAAATAAACAGAAAGCCCGAAAGGACTTATTTACCAACTCAATATATTGCATAATTATCAAAATTCTAAGAAAAAAAATAATTTAAAATCATTATTATACTTTCTATCTACAATAATATTCATTTTTTTATTTATTCATGTACTTTACTTAATCTGTAAAAGATGGAAAAAAAAATCTAAAAATAGGCTGATGAGGATAAAGTATTTTGCTACCATACTTTTTCATTTATGCATGCATAAGAATAACAACCGCTCTTCGTGTTTAGGAATTATTTCACGGTTAATGGAATAAATATAATGGTTGCCTACCGTAACTCACAGTAGAATAAGATGAGGGAACCTCGCTGCCATTTTTCGACCTCTAAAGGACACCTATCTGAATTGTGATAGATCGATATTCTGTAAGTATACCATTTTTAATCTATTTACTTTCAAAAACTATAGCGCAAATTCATTTAAGATCATTATTTAAACAAACATTGACAACTTTATTTTTTAAGAGCATTATTTTATCATGAAATCACTACATTTTTCAGCAGATTCCTTAAAATTATTAATCTGCTTGACCCCCTTCTCACTCAATTTATGCTCCTGGAAATTAGTCAATGTCTTAATTATATGTTGATCTTGTGATCTTTCACTTCTACTCTCAAACCTTCAGAACTGTCAAACGTTCCTGCCTAAGCTATCAGACCAATATATAACTTAAATTAATCGCCTGTAATCCAAATCTATAATTTATAATGGATATAGATTACAGGAGTTAAATCAGATACATGGTGGTAGATTAGATAGATATAGACGGATGTAATAAGTCATATCAGGCTTAAGCATCTTCACTTTATTACAAAATAAAACCCTCCCTTTGTCGGTGGAGAGAGAATGACAGTGGTCCATATCTTTGAGAGTTGTGCCTTTTACATGAGATAATTATACAAATAAGGAATACCAGCTAATACATCAACTGCTTTGAGAAATAATGATAGAGCAAGCGAAGGTAGAATTAGAAAAATCGCTGATCATGTACAATTACACTTGCTGTGGTCTGCTCCATGTTTTCCTCTGTTCCCTTAGTCTGAAACTTTTCATTCCAAAAATTCATTACCCCTTCGAAGTTTGCCCCCCTCCCCTCAAAAATCCAAAAACCTGACAAAATATGGCACTCTAAAAATTTTGATGGCGCAAGTTGCGCCATGGAACTCCCTTCTGGGAATCCCTGCCGGATGCTGTAATCCTTTAAGCTCCGAATAAACTGCGCACTAAGAAAAATATCTGCAATGGAAGACTTGCATTCACAAGACGAAATTAATTCATAATCAGCCAATTCACCTCGAAGGGATAACACAAAATCCGAGACAAACTCTAGATTTCCCTGAAAAATTGACAAAAAAGTAGGTTGAGTTATTTGTATATTTTTCTTAGGTGATAGATAGATCTAGGAGTTTGATATCGTATTATAGGCTTGCTCATTTCGTTTCTGAGAAGCTGCAACAGCTGAGACTATGTTAAAATTGCTTTATCGAATGAACTTTACAAGTAATCTACCACAGCATTGTTTGTTTTTCAATATATTTTTCATGTCAAGATAATTCTGTATCATCGTATTGTTGAATCATTACCAAATGATGCTTTTTTAGAGTAATAAGAATCAAAATTCGGAAGCAAAGCAGTGTTAACACCTGGCGTACCACCCATCAGTAAAAACTACAACTGGAGGTGATTGAAGTTGTTGAATTTTTTCCACGATCTGAGAAAGCATACTTTGTTGAAGCTCAAGAAATGTGCCTAGCATTGATCAGGGTCCAGAACAGTAACTTGAAAATATTTCTAAGTAGATTATTTGATAATGAGAGAAGGGAAAATACGTGATTATAAATAGCAAATTGCTATATTGAAATCATAAATTGATAGAGGTTCGATACTGATATTGCAGTGATCGATTATTTAGTTAATGACAATTTATATGGGTAGCAATTTTTTATTAAAATATTTTCAATACATTGAGAATAAATTTATTGTTTAAACGTCACTGAAATTGCCGTTAATCTCTAAAAATGTCTTTAGTTCAGTTTTTAAGTAATGGTTGACACCATGTCACTCTATCTCAATGATTGTTCCGATCTTGTATCGATACGGTAGATTTTCAGACGGCTTGATGCACTGGTGCAATCATAACTGTCAAGTATGTAATTGAGAAGAAACTAAAGATATCATTCAGTTCTTGGAGCCTATCATATGTGTGGCAAGATAAAAAATAAATATTTTAGTCGGCAGAACTATTATCCTGAAGATTTATTTAGTTCATAAAAATCTGCTGGAAAGGTTCACATTACATTCGTCAGTTTGGTTTGTAAAGAATTTGTAGAATACCTTATTTATATTTATTATTTTTTTATCTATATGCAGACCAACTCCGGACCACACAAATATATCTCAGCCTTTTTCTTTTTTGTCCTTACTTTTCTTCTCCTCCACACTTCCTTCGTCCAATTGGAGTGTTTTTTCTGCCTTTCTCTCCTCCGACTACTTCTTCTCCACGTTCCTCCTTTCCACTACAACGAAACTTATTCGGTCAAAACGCTTTCGAAATTAGACTCTGACTTCGCTTGCTATAATCAGTTTGCCTTTTTGGTTCTTTATCTATTCCGGATCCCTCGTTATATTCTTCAGTCCTAGCAGTTTGTCAAAAATGTAGTTACTCAATCTATTTCCATTGCCCAAGTGTAGTAAGATATCTATAAATAAATAAGATATACATTTTTTATCTCATTTGTGGTAATAAATACGTTTTAAATCATTCATTTATATACTAAATACATTATTTGGATATATTCATTAAAAGAATTCACAGCGCTTTTTAACACTAGAGGCAGATCAAATTACTTGTTATTTGTTTGTAGCAAACTCCTTATTCATTTCAGCCTGTAAGAATTTATTTTTAAACCAGTGCATGGAATGGAATAAGGAGCACCTTGCGTGTTTAAGAATTTTACCGAAGGATATTAGTGTCGATCTTCCCCATATAAATGCTGAACTCAGTTTTCAATGTCAGTTGAGCATAATGAAGTCTCTTTCAGTTTGCTTTCTGGCTGTACTGCTAATACAAGCATCGTCAGGCAGACCTAGTACGTAAAAAAAGTATAAATTTAAGTAATAATTTATTTATCATATAATAGATATAACATTTTTTTACTAATATAATTATTATACTAATTTTCCCTTAACAGTCAGGTGTACATTTATATTTTAAACACTTTTTCCATTGATAAAATACAATGGTGTATTAAAAAGTTTATTGGATTAGGATGTTCACCAATATAAAATTTTAATATGCTGTTTTTTTTTAGTTTTTATTTTTACAGCTACTGAAGCTTGCAGCCCATATTACAATTCAATCATCAATTGATGGCTCGAAATTCAGAAGTTGTATGAAATACAAAGTCGCTGGCACCATACATCAAACAAATAGTTGCTCCTTAGTAGCCAATAGGCCCTCCAGTAGAGCTACTAATTTTTATATGATAAATTCTAATAATATAATTAAATGCTCAAAAATAATACTGATACATTCAAACACAGGATGCATCAAATATGTTTTTGTGATACTACTAACTCGATCCGAAATTCAAATTATTATGACATTAGGAACGGACTGACCACCAACACTCAATGAAATTTTTTAATTTAAAGTTCAGTTAAAGTTATTTGTTTCGCAAAAAAAAATATATTGAAAATGTTAACTTTGCTGTAAATTCTTAATTTATGAATTGGGGAATTCGTTCATAAAAATTATTTCTGTAATCTTACCAGAAACACTGCTTGTTTCTCATTGTATGTTCACTTTTTTTTTTTTTTTTTTTAGGTACGTAAAAAATAAAAGTTAACCTTCTACACAAAATCCAGAACTTGATTTCAAAATAAGCTCATTAGAAATAGTTAAAATGGAACATTTAAAAACGTTTCAGTCCCTGCCTACTCCTATGAGCACAAACAACTAATGTAATACACTCCTACGAGATAAAATTAAACTTAAAGTTTTATTTTATTTTAAAATAAAAATTAAATTTGACATCAGTTTGATAAAATTTTTTTTTTGTTTTTTCAGATGATGACAGTGGTGAGTACGAAGAACATGAAGAGCATTCATTCGTTTACAGCTCAACTAATCCTGGTCAGGTACAGAGCACGCAAACAATCATAGGAAGACCACCCTTTCAGCCAATGAGCTTTGGCTTCGGCAACCCAGGGCGGCAGAACTTCGGGAATATGTTCGGCACCGGAGGATTCGGCGGTTTCCCCAGTTTTAGACCCTTACCAGGCTTCCCACCTCTTGGACAAATGAGCCCAGGTGGTTTCGGCGGAGTAACAGGACAGTCTTTCCAGCTACAACACCCAGGAGGATTTGGACAGATCAGTGGATTCACTGGTCCATCATCCGCAGGAAATGCTGCCTTTGCTAGTTCTAGTTCCGGAAGCCCAGGTGGTTCGAATAGCCAACTAATCATAAAACCAGGAGGAGGCTTAGCATTCGCAAGTTCGAGCTCAAGTAGCCCAGGAAGTAACCAAGTTTCAATCAGTACGCAGACCTCGAGTTCGACAGACGGTCAAACCTCGGACAAAGGCGAAGAGTCTGAGCCATCTATTGCAGTGGAATTTTAAAATGGCACCCAAATCCATTTAAAAATAAGTTATAGAGCAAAAAGCAATGTTGTTTTTGACTCAGTTTAAAAATCCATATCATAAACCCTTTTTCATCCTAACTTTCCAAAATAAAATTAATAAATTGCAAACCTTTCTGTACCAAGCATTACACTGTTCTAACCATGAATGTAGTTTTCCAACAACAAAAAGAAGAAAACAAAAAATTTTATTTTACAATATTTATGTTATACCATGCGCTAAGTTGAGGAATTAGGAAGCTGTTTGTAAACATTTGACCTCTGTAACATAATAACTTGTATAGCCTTATATATATTAAATATCTTGCCTATCTACAGAACTTGATGCTGAAAGTAGAGTAATAAAAATACTGTGATGCATAAAACACAAATTGTGTCAATGCATTGTGTTTTTCTCAGTAGACATCGTCTCAATGCAATACATATTTTACTATTTATTATATTTTACTAACCCAACTCATGGTATAGTTGTTTCCTAATACCCATGACATTAAGTACAGACAACTGATGTCAGTATTTATCGATTCTGGATACAAATTGTAATGGAAAAATCAAAAGAAAAATGTTTTAAAGAATTACAGCGTTCATTTATTCCAAAAAGGCACTAAGTACATTTTTTACAGAGCTGAGCTTTGAAGAATGTTTTTGTGAATTTTCTACCTTATTTATAGGTTTAAACAAACACATTAAATGCACTAAAATGACACAAACTCCATTATGTATCAATAGTAGTTTCTGCAAGCACAATTATTTGATATATGAAATATCACCTTATGAAACAGTATTCGATTTTACAAACATAGAAAAGGAAAATCTTTAAATGTTTGATAGTAGATATCAAGAGCTAGAAACAATTGTATATAAACAAGGTTCCGATATTCCGCAGAAAAGTAGGTAATTTAACTTTGGTGTTTAAGTAAGACTCGTTTTATTGTAATAGAAAGTTATTACCTAGAAAATATTTGAATGTGACAATTGGCAATTACTTTACAGTAAGCTAGACAAAATTTACTTTAAAAGAAAGTGGCATTTGGTTTCTAAATCCATTTAAAGAGGACTTTAAGCGACTAAATTACGCCAAGTTCCGTTTTTTAAATAAAATAATAGATTATTCGAAAATTATTTTTCTAACACTAAATTAGATTAAAGTTTTCCCTGTTACAACTACCCCTAGACTACACTTCCTATATATAATAAAAAAGTTCCGTATTTCCTGGTTTAAAAAGCATTAAGCACGTGTTAATTAAGTGAATAAATAAAGAAAGTTGAGATTTCTTTAAAAATAATATAGATACACCTCCATTTGTATAAATCAATTATGCGACTTTACTTAGTTCAGTTTATCATAAAATTAAGGATTATTAGCAATTTTGGTTATTACCTTCCAATTGGACCACATATAACCTATCCTTAGAAAAATATTCTTGTTTAATAAGCTCCAAGTCCATATTAATTAATTTTGTTATTGTTATGGCATAAACTGAGTCTTCAGTTATGTAAAAGAATTATACGATTTGATATTGTGGCATCCCAAAGTACTTTTTTGTTGAGCAAAAATCACAACAATTTTTTATTATATTTTAATTTATTTTCTTTTGGATGAAATGCCAAACAAATCAACAAACTTCCAAATAAAAAACTTCATGGCTAAGATCTGATGACTCCCTTTATTCTTCGAATCCTACCCCGAAGAGCTGTTCTATTTCTTACACGCATCTATAACTCCATCTTACGCACTACCTATTTTCGTCTCGTTTGGAAACTTTCCACAATTAAAATGATTCCTAAAGCAATCACTAGTCCTTCATTTTATCGTCCTATAGCACTTCTTTCTATAATGAGAAAAATATTTGAAAAACTTCTCCTGAACCGTCTAAAGCCTATCCTAGAAAGTAGTGAAGTGATACCATATCACCAGTTTGGCTTTCGTTGTTATTACTCCACTGTGCAACAGTGCCATCGGATAGTATACGCTATCTGTGATGTTTTTGAGAAAAAGGAATACTGCTCTTCCTTAATATAGAGAAAGCATTTGATAATGTCTAGCACAAGGGCCTATTTTGGAAATTAAAACCGCACTTACCTTCTACTTATTTTCTAATTCTTCAATCCTTCTTTTTTAACAGGTTTTTCTGTGTTTCCGTAGATTTTTCTGACTCCTCTTTCTTCCCTCAACACATTGGCTTACCACAAGGTAGCGTCTTCAAGTTCAAATCTCTATTCGCTATAGACCTCTGATATTCCTGGGAACCCTAGCACCATCATATATTGTTTTGCTGACGACACTGCAATTCTTTCTTCTTACAAAAAGTCAACTATCACATCAACTGCCCTTCAAAACCACCTTTATGATCTTCAAAACTGGTTCGAAAAATTGAAAATTAAAATTAACAGCAGCAAATTCACCCACGTGACTTTCTCTCGTAGAAAAGTCTCATGCCCACCCAAAATCATTGACAATAACCTAGTGCCTTCAAACACTATGTATGGTGCCTCGGACTCTGCTTAGGCAAAAGACTTACCAGGAACAAACATACTAAATTAAAAAGACAAGAACTGACTAGACGATACAACCAACTCTCACATCTTCTGGACTACAGATCCTAACTTAACTTACGAAACAAGTTATTGATCTACAATACCATACTGAGACCAATTTGGATATACCGAGCAGAAGTTTAGGGTTCGGCAAAACAAACACATATAAATAAAATACATACAACACTATAAAAAATTCTACGAAAAATTGTCAACGCACAAGGTACATTTCGACTAAAACTTTACACAACGACTTAAACATCCTAACAGTAAAATACTACATCCACAAAAAATACAGTTCATTTCATTCTTCAACTTTAAATCACATCAATCCATTAGTCCTTTTTATTTCCTGCTCTCTGTTACCTGATCGACGCAGACTGAAAAGAAAATGGCCAAGAGACCTACTCCAACATTAATAACAAGAAAAAAAAAATTACCAAGACAATTCGCAGCTAATGGCTAATACGTCAGATTTGCTAGATGCGCTGCAGCTCAAGTGGAAACTTCATAAAATGTTAAAATAAAAAAAAATATATTTTATTTTAAGAAAGAAATCAAATCTTTTTAAAAAATATTTCCTAAAAATTGAGATACTTTGAGTATCTCAGAATATCATCACAATCAGAGAACATCAAATCACTTATTTTTTTATACATAAAATTAAAGGTGAATCTCTATTTATCCTAAGCAAATCTAAACTTAATGAATATAAACACGGAGTTTATTAAACAAGGAAGTTTATTTTTTGTGAAAGTAAGGTATCTGTAGTTCAATAGGTTGCATGATAAACAAAATTGGGAATAGTCTATGATTTTATGAAAAATAGAACTATCACAGCTTAGCCACTTAAAAGTCTTCTTTAAATGTTCGTTAAATGTAGAAAAGCGATGCCTGGAAATTGGTAATGAAAATATCTGTGATTTTAAATATTTCAAGAGTATGTGTGTTTATCATACTGAGTTATTCTTGTTAAGTGTCTAGTATAGAACTCTTTTCTACCTCTCAACAGCAAAGAATCCACCTTGCTCATGAAGAAATAACGAAACCCGATTAGAGATATATAATTGACGTACATTAAAACTGTTGGTACTCAGTGGACACGGAATTTGATGATCTACAACTTTTATCCTTCGAATTTTTTCTCTTAGAGAGCTCATATCCATTTACAGTAATTTATCTCTTTTTTTAACGAATTTGGTAAAAACCACCGTTCGTTGACAGTGGTTATTCAGCCATACAACATAATCAAATAGTTTAGGTACTCATTCGACGCACAATTTAAAGTTCTTTAATTTCTTAATAAGTATCTTTTTTTGCTTAGATGTACCGTTTAGGTACAAAACAATCTGTTTTGTTTGGCTGCAATCTGTCGAAACAATCTGGCTTTTTTGGCTGTAAAAAGTTTTTTTTTTTTGCATGGGCTCTCAGACTATTAGTAAAATAGTTTTATACTTTTAGTAAAGTGAAAAGTACAAACGAAGGTTCTTCTGCACCGAACAAATAGGTCTTTAGAGAACAATAATGCTAGTATAAGTTCATGGATAATTTTATCTTGTAGCTTAACTATTATACTGTAGGCGTATTTTCTAATGCACCAGAAAGAAATAAAGCTAACTAATGTTAGTGTTCTCGTTGGAGTATGGTATGCTAGTTTAATTTATAGAAGTGATCGGAAATGAGGGAAATATTATTAATATAGATAAAATGGCCTTGGACTGCTTGATGCTGAACAAAATAAATATAATGAGGGCAGTATGTAATCGTCAATATAAATAGACCAAAGAAGCGCAATTATATCACAATAGAGATATAAAAAATATATTTGACCAGTAATTCTTATTTAATACTAACGAAAGTTCAAACATGCCTTAATGACGTAGAAGCTCCTTGTAAGTTGACCAGCTGCGCAAACAATAACAGGTATAAAGCTGACAAACAAAAAAAACTTTTGGAACAGTTCCGGGGCAATGAAGCTCTGTCCTGTTGCAGTTATCCTGTTCGTGGCGAGCTGTTGCCTCGCCAAGCCTTTCCACCATGATTACTACCTTCCATTAGGTGAGAAGTCTAATTTTATACTTGAAAACGGTATATAAGGTCAAATGTTATTCATTATAAATTACAAAATTAAATATAAGAACCTAAGGTTGTATTTATATGAAAATTATTATTGCTGAAAACCGATCCCTTGCTATATCTGCATAATTCAATGTTAATAAGTTAATTAACACTTGCAAAATATTTGTTTATTTTCCATTAAATTTGCCACTGCGTTGTAACGCATCAAGCAAATGTGTTGGAGTTTATTCTATCACCTTGAATTCTTGATATTTTCTTAACTTTTCAGAAGAAGATCTCTAGGCCACTGCCTTTTTAGTCGTCTTTAAGGCTCACCAGGTAACGGGGAGGAATATAGAGATAAAACGAGTGTATTTGGATGATTGATAGTAGAGGAATGAAATGTTGTGTACTTGTTGTGCAAGTAGGATTTTACTTTTGGTATGCTCTTGTCTGTGTGTATGATGTGATTTGAAATAACCAAGGAGCATTGACTATTTTACGAAGTATTTTGAATTGTGTGGTTTGAATTTTGTTTATGTGTGTGTGATTTGCCGAACCCCAAAGCTCTGCTACATATGTCCAAATAGGTCTTAGTATAAAGGTGTAGATTAGTCGCTTGTTTAGTATGTTGAGTGGAGATCTGTAGTCCAAAAGATGTGACAGTTGTTTGTATCGTCTGGTCAATTCTTGTTTTTTTTAATTTAGTGTGAATCTCCCAGATGAGTTTTTTGTCCAAGTATAGTCCAAGATACCGTACATGTGTTTTTGAGGTAATTGGTTTATTGTTTATTGTCACAGCAGTGCTGCTGTGAGGACACGAGACCTTCTTCAGGGAGAAGCTAACATGAGTTGACTTGCTGAGATTGATTTTAATTCTCCATTTGTGAAACCATTTTTCAAGGTCGTGCAGGTGATTTTGAAGGGCTATTGAAGCGATAGTGGGATTTTTGTAAGAAGAAAGTATTGCCGTATCGTCAACAAAACTATAGAGAATGTTCCTAGGGTGCTCAGGGATATCAGATGTGTAGATAGAAAATAGAAGAGGGCTTAAAACACAACCTTGTGGTACGCCCTCAAGTTGAGGAAAGAAGGGAGAAGTAGAGGAATCAATAGTAATACAGAAGAACCTGTCAAGAAAGAAAGATTGAAGAATCAGAAAGTAAGTTGAAGGAAGGTGTGGTTTTATTTTTCACAGTAAACCTTTGTGCCAGACGCTATCAAACGGTTTCTCGATATCCAGGAATATCGCTGAGCAGAATTCTTCTGCTCTTCTGAGCAAAATATAAC